CTCCTGCTGAGCTCTCTTGCTGGACAAAATAGACTTTATTGTGCATATGGAGCACCTTTCCAGTGGCTTTGTGGTGCTCTTTAGTGATTTACCTGTCCCAGTTGTGCTCAAGTTGCTGTTCCAAGTGATGTTTGGTGTCTTTGCTTGTAGCCCTAGCACAGCCCCAAAGGCTTTGAGGAGGAGAATAGTCCCTCCAGATCAGAGGTGGGAAAGGGCCTGTTGGTGCTTGGGCTCTGTTTTCAGATAGCTTCATGTGGGTAGTGGGAATTGGCTTGAAACCTTCCCAAGCCACTGCAGGAGGAAATGCTAATGCTGCCCAGTGTCCCTCACCTCGGCTCACTCCGTGTCATGCCAGGTGATATCCATCTCTGCTGATTTTCTGCACATATGGTCAAACACAGCTCACTTTAAGCTCCTTTTCCCCAGTAAGGTGTGGGGGAGTTTTGCTTCTGTGCTCTCCAGAATATCAGGATGTGGCTCTGGGAAGTAGGATGCATGGATTCTGCTTGTTCTCTGTATCCAACCTTGTCATTCTTTTCCAAGACTACAAGTAAAACTGGTTCCTTTTAACTTTTTAACTTCTCAAGAGTCTTTAATCCCTTTAAAAGTTTTATTCTTGGAAATTCTTCCGAGTTCAGACCCACTGGCAGGAGAGAATTGGCTCCTTTAAGCCCTCTTTGCTATCCCTGTCCTCAAATGTAGTGGAATAAGCTCTCAGCATGACCAAAATTGAAAGCAAGTGCTTTGCCTCTTGGAGCACTGCAAGCAGTTTTGCCCTCTGGATTTATATCCAAATACAAACTTGGGAAGGAAACAGCCAAAGAAAAGGGTCAGAAAGCTAAACCTTTCCAAATCCTTTTGCCCTGAAGTTGAGGATGGAAAAATACCTGCTGCCTCCTTTCTCTTTGGCCATGCCTTGTTCTGGCTATCTTCGTTGGTTTGATCCCAGTTAGCAGGCAGTGGGGTTTTGGGAGTGCCTTATTCTGGCTATCTTCGTTGGTTTGATACCAGTTAGCAGGCAGTGGGGTTTTGGGAGCAGCTGGATGTTCCCATAATTAGCCAAAACCCTGTGGTTTTCATCTCTGCTGGCAAAGGGCACCCAGAAGGATTCTCCTCTGAACAAACCTGATCTTCAGCTCCATTCCTACAGAGGGCTGGGGATTGATGTGCTGTACTAAACAGCTGACATAACAGAAGTGGCAATAATCCCCCATTAAATATCTTTCAGTGGATGGGACTCACTGGGTAATTGACTT